TATTAAGAATGCTACTCCTATCATTTATTTTTAAAACTAGAATTAGATTTCAGTGTAGATGAGATTTTCCATTCTACAAAGAAAAATATATTTAATCTCACCATCAAGAATATCACACTGAGTGTTCTCATGTCAATCTCTTACCATTCATAAAGATTCTATCAAGTTCTCTTATCATCTTAAATAATGAGAATGATCAGGAACTTCCAGTATAGGTAACTATGAAGTCACTACTAACCACTAGACCCTAATCTCAGATTTCTTATTCTGGCCCCATGTTGAAAAGTCTACAAGAGTCAGTCCCTTTGTAAAAGAAATGCTACAGTAAACATAGCCTTCACCAGCCTTTCCCACTCATAAAAATTAGAGCAGAACCATTTGATATTAATTGTTTCTTTTCTTTACAAGAACACGTATATAGCCACATATCTATTCTTCTTGGATAGAAATATTGACCTGTTTTATTTCTATAAGCATTAAAAGAGCTGGAAGGCTAAACTAGTATAAGGTTCTGTATGTTTTTTACACTCTATTTTGTTGCTTCTTCAGAGATAGCCCCACTATGTAACATAGGCTGGCATTGAACTCACAATCCTCCTGACAGCCTCCAGCTCCTAGATTGGCAGGTGCGTGCCACCAGGCTGAGCTCTCATCATAATTGTTTAAGAGTAGGATTACAAGCCTTAAAACTATCTCATATTTGCATTCATTATTCTTATAATCAGACTACTAAGATAGAGAAGGTGCATTTAGACATAAAATGTAGTGGGAGACTAGGATTTTTTTGAATAACGACAGGGCTGGGGGGACCGAGAAATTTCTCCCTATATTGATATGTGCTTCATATTGTAAATGCCATGAAGATTCTTACTACATCAAAATAGTACACAATGGAATTGTGTTCACTCATAAACATTAAAGCAGGAAATTTTCAAAAAATGGATTGATCTGGAAATTATTACATGAGATAATCTAGCCTCAAAGATAAATGAATATGTACAGGCATCACTATTATCACAGGTATAGGTCATGGAACCAAGGAAAGGGAAAACAAGAGAGAAAAAAGGGTTTTAAGGAAGGTGAAGAAAGGAAATAGAATTATGTAACATGAAAGTTAGAGGACAAGAGGGTCTAAACTAGCGTGGCAGGAGCCAGGGAGAAAGGAGTTTTTAAAAGCTACCTGTGCAAATACCAAAACAAAATTCATTACTTTGTATGCCAAGTCAGAAACAATAACAATTTTAAAATGACAAAATTAGCTTTTTCCCCATAAAAATCCTCATCGAAGAAGTCATGTCAATTTTCAGATTAAGTTTTTGCAAGTAAATCCTTTCATATCAAAGAGATTATCTAGTTGCAGAGAGAAAAATATATAACAGTCCAAACAATTATTATGCACATAAATTACTATTAAGTAACTATGCTGGTAGTCTTAGTTAACTTGACACAAGTTAGAGTCTTTTGGGAATAGGGACCCTCTACTGTAAAAATGCCACCATCAGATTTACCTGTATGCAAATCTATAGGGCATTTTCTTGATTAATGTGACATGAGAGGGCCCAGCAGTGTCACCCCTAAGCAGGTAGTCCTGAGTCGTACAAGAAAGCAGGTTAAGCAGGCCCTAGGAAGCAATCCTAGTCAGTCTGCTGGAGATCCTATTCCAGGTTCCTGCCTTCCTTGGCTCTCTGCACTACTTCCTTCAATGACAGATTATATCTGGAAGTATAAGATAAAATTAACTATTCCACCCTCAACTTGCTCTGTGTCATGGTGATTTATCAGAACAATGGAAGCCTTAACTAAGATGGCAGTATTTAATGTAATGTTATAGACAGTTTGTGATAAGATGCCTACACACCTGGGAATGGGCCATGGCAGAAGACCAAAGGGATCTTAAAACAAAACCTGTTGGTTTCCATTTCTATATGAACATATCAAACATACTTTCCAATCATTGTGCACTATACTTTGCTGAGTCATGGAGTCTGAATTGCTAATGGGTGATATAGCTGCTGCTGGCAGCATTTGTAAATTTTAACATCATCCTAATAGAACAACTCCTTGAGAACTCCTTGTTGGTAAGCAACAGAAGGTAAGAGTGTCCAGAACACTTGTATCTTTAACACTAACAGCTAACTTTACCACTCAAAGTATGGCCTGTGTCCTGGCTTCAGCTGAACCTCTTGGAGACTTTTTTAAAATGAAGTGGATCAAGTCCAGCCTAGTGCCAAGAAATCATAATGGACACTGACCCCAATACCAAGGTACTCCCTCAGTATGTCTAAGTTTCAGAAACACTGGCCTACCTCACAATTGATTTCTCAGTCACTTTGAGTCATGAAACTGCATTTCTCTGATTCCTGGGCCTTATTAGTTTTATTTATTGCTCTGTGGATATATCACTTCCTGGCAATCAAGGATCTGTGAGGGCACCCAAGGAAATACCTCCTATGGCCACAGAGAAGCCATTTGGCCATGACTGAGCCTCTCACATCAACACTTCCAACAGTCTATATTCTGAAGAATTTCCCTGACTATGAGGAAACAAAATGATTTCTCAATCTACTTGCCAAATGGCATAGCATCTGCTTCATGAAACTGCTGAGGGTGAGAGGCAAGGGTAATAGAGGGTAGGGGGTGGGGGATGAGAATATAAGGGAACAGGATGGTCGAGCTGGAACAGAGATGGAGTGGGAGAGCAAAGAAAGAGATACCATGATAGAGGGAGAAATCATGGAGAAAGGAAGAAATTTGGTGCCAAGGAAGTTCCCAGGAATCCACAAGGATGATTCCCAGCTTAGACTTCTAGCAATAGTAGAAAGGATGCCTGAACTGGCTTACCCTAGTAATCAGATCAGTGAATACCCTAACTGTCATCATAGAACCTTCACCCAGTAACGGATGGAAGCAGATACAGTGATCCACAGCCAAGCACTAACCTGAGCTCCAGGAATTCAGTTGAAGAGAGAGAAGAGGGATTCTTTTAGCAAGGGTCATCAAGATCATGATGGGGAAACCTACAGATAAAACTGAACCAAGCTAGTGGGAACTCATAAACTTTAGACCAACAGCTGTGGAGCCCTCATGGGACTGGACTAGGACCTCTGTATAGGGGAGACAGTTGTGTAACTTGGTCTGCTTAGGAGGCCCCATGGCAGTAGGATCCAGATCCATCCCTAGTGCATGAGATGGCTTTTTGGGACCCATTACCTATGGTGGGACACCTTGCACAGCCTTGATGCAGGGGGAGGGGCTTGGACCTGCCTCAACTGAATATACCAGGCTTTGCTGACTCCCCATGGGAGGCTTTACCCGTTTGGAGGAGGGGATGGGGGATAGGTTGGGGGAGAGTCACTTGGGGGAGACAGGAGGAGGAATGAGAGGGGGATCTGTGGTTGGTATGTAAAATTAATAAAAATTTCTTAATAAAAATGAATAAAACTGAGTTATCTCTGAAGTAATGAGTATACTAGAATAGTAAAAGGGGCTGCTCAGTTCAGAAATTATAAGCCGATAATTTTGAAGAAAATAGTACCTAAAATATAAAATTGAAAAAGGATATGCAAACAGACAATGACTGGACCACATATCCCAACCAAATTCTCCAGTCCAAGAAGGAAAATAATTGCCTTGACCTTAGCCAGCTAGCATGCATGGTCAGAAAAAGACATAGAGCTGAGAGGCTCTCTACATTTTGTCTCTGTCTTCAACAATACACCAACCATGGAAATGCAAATTATATTCAACTATTCACTTAAGATGCTCTTTGTAATTAGTCTCTCAGCCTCCCAGCCATCAGCCTCCACTCACATAGTACCTGAAGTCTTCTCTTTCTTCACTAAACACATTCCCATTCCCATTCTTTTTTTTTTTTTTTTTTTTTTTTTGGTTTTTCGAGACAGGGTTTCTCTATGTAGCTTTGCGCCTTTCCTGGAACTCACTTGGTAGCCCAGGCTGGCCTCAAACTCACAGAGATCCGCCTGCCTCTGCCTCCCAAGTGCTGGGATTAAAGGCGTGCGCCACCACCGCCCGGCTCCCGTTCTTAACAAAGATAAGAAATAAGGACTGGCTCTGTGAATACAGCAAACCAAACCAATAGCCTCTGTTTGCTCTCATCTTCATGGTCTTTGCTTTCTTCCTAAAGATGTTCCGATTTGTTAGATTATTTCACAGCCACATTTTTATGTCGTATTTTATTTTTATGACTTGTAATTTTAAGAGTCATGAAACTCCAACATCTCCTGTGAGGTCTTGAAGCAACCCTGAAATCTGCTTCCAAAATCCCCTGCAAAGTCACACTTACTCAGCTGCTCTCCAGCACCCTTCTCCTCCTTTCATGGCTTCAACTACAAAAGGTAATGAGTTAAAGCCATAGAGTGATTAATCAGCCCAATTTTTTTAAAAATGTACCTTTATCAGCAATGAAAGTCCTACATGCCATGAAACTCTCTAGCCAGAGGCAAAGCTGGACAGTTAGTTAACCCTGCAAGACTCTAATTTGCAATGCCATTCCAAAACTCATCCCCTGTAGATGTGGTTTCTTTTAGGAGGAATACTTGTCTTACTTCTAAATGACAGTTTATAAACCAAGTGAACCCTTCATAACTTTCCAAGACCTTGTCTAAACAGCCATTCCTCTGTTAGCATTCTGATCTGTTAGCCCCCCAAGAATCCATCACACCCTACTGCAAGACACACTGAAGTGTACTTTTTCATAGATGTCACCTAGTGTAGACATGATCTGGTCATGGTGGTCTGACCCTCTAGACAGTGGATTCCCCGAGAGCTAGTGCTGTGATCTTCTGTTACTATCACTACTGCTTGGGGCCATGTTTGTCTGTTTAGCTAGTATATTTATCAACCAGTTGAACTTTTCTTTAAAATGTTCTAAAAGGCACAAAGTAAGATGAAGAGACAGGATATGGACAGTAGAAAGTAGGCATCTTATAAGGAAATAATGAACAATTAAGTAAAATTGACTACCCAGGATATCTATTTACCTCGATCTGGGTGGCATTGTCCTGCCCATCATCCAGTAGCAGGTCAGTGAAGCCTCTGGGCTCTGGTGAGTCTTGGCCCATGCCGGCTCTGTTCGTGTCCACTGCCTTAAAAGGGTCCAAATTTCTTTTCCACCTGTGGCTGTATGTTTGTGAATCCACATCTACCCCATCTTCTCTTTGAGGAAAAGCCTTTGAAACGTCATACTTCCAATCTGAAAGAGAAACAAGTATGTTAGCTATAGGTGTGACTCATATACATAATACCTATTAGAGTAGAAAAATGTACTTCTGTTGGTCATTAGCATAGGAAAGGAACTAGTTATAATAAAACCAAATTGTCATATCACACTTGATGTGGAAATCTGAGTGTTGTGGCTTAAACAAGAAATGTGTCCCCAGACATATAGGATGCTTGGTGCATAGACAGTTGGCCCTAAATAAAGTCTTGCTAGAGGAAGGAGGTGATTTAGTGTGTTTTTGAAGGTTACACTTTATCCCCAATTCCATTCTTGCTCTTTCTGCTTCCTGTCTACCATGAGATGAACAGCCTCTTACCAACATGCCTCCATCACCACGATGCTGTATTCAAGTGCATGGGGCAACTTGTATGGGGAACCTTTGAACCACGACTCAAACAAGGGAATCTTTCTTTTTCCCCCAGCTATTTGATTCCAAGTGACATACGATATACTGGGTACAGTAAAACTGCATGGTACACCATAAAATGAATCAATGATTCCTGTGGTGATCTCTAAGGAACACTCAAACACACAGCTCTCTATGAATGCATTTATCATCCCTCTGCGCACACACACACACACACACACACAGAGAAAGAGAGAGAGAGAGAGAGAGAGAGAGAGAGAGAGAGAGAGAGAAACAGAGACACAGACAGACAGACAGACAGACAGACAGAGACACACACAGAGAGAAAGCTGTTCTGAGAAAGCAAGTTAGAATCCTAAACTAAATAATGAAAGACAGGCATCTTCAGCTCATTTAAAAATAAATGACATGATGAATGTGTGAGTTTATGCTGCTTTTACATGAGTTATACCAGGCTGCAAAGGGACAATGATATGTTACAATGGGTTAAACCATGGTGGAATTTTCTTCCTGTAAATGTGCTAACCTATCTTGTAGTTTACAAGCCAGACTTGGTTCATTGCCTGACTCATTTGATAAGCAACACTCTCAGGAGGCATCACAAATGTGCTTGCTCATTTGCACTGTCCTCACCTTGGGAACTTGTCAGGGTGGTAAAGGATGACATTGACAGGCACTTACAGAAATGGATGGGACAGCAAGGAGATCAAATCACAAAGGTATTTTAAAGCCATCTGCAAGGACTGGCTCTGCTGACCCAGCTCCTCCTGCCACTACAGGAGGGAATATTAGATTTAATCATGACTCCTAGTCTTTCATTTCAGTAGGTCAGTAGGGAATGGAACACCACGAGGATTGAAAATTCAGTTTTCAAGCAAGAGGAACAGCCTTCTACCCAAGCATTACCAAAAGACAGGAATTGGTAGCCTTTATAACTGTCCTGATATGGGTTCACAAAGGGCAAAGAGAACACTGATTTAATCATGGATGTGATGTTCCCCTCAATATGAGAACATTTTGTGAAATCTAAAGGTGTTTAATGCAGAGTATCATTGAACTTAATGCAGAATCAGCAACTCCTAACTTCAAAGCCTATAGGCCACCACTATTTTTCAGCAACCACAGAGGCTAGACATGCCTTGTTTTCAACTCAGAAAGTTTCTGAAATTCCTTCTGAACAAGACAGGGCAATCTAGGTTCACTAAGACCTAAAAGATATTTTAAAGTCTGATGTGTTGATAGATGGAGTCTTAAGAGAAGCCTTACCTTGCAATAATAGCATCTCCATTGAGCCTTATGAGAAACCATGGGTACCAAATTCACCAAATTCCCACCAGGAGAAATCAGGGAGCCAGTCAAAGGAAGAGCTGTGCTCCTCTCAGTGAACTGCACACCAGAATGGACCCATATGCTTTGTAAATGGTTGGGCAGCACCTCCCAGTCACTCTGCATGCACCGGATGTTCAATACGAACATCTAATTAGCACCATCAACTTCATTGTGGAAAGTATTTATTTGCAGCAGTTTGCCTCTGCCTGACATTTAACAAGACTTCAGTGTGCACTGACTGACTGACTGAGTGAAAGAACATATTACAGGCATTCTCTTTGGCACAAGAGTAATTGTCCCAGGAAGAAATAAGTAAGATACCAAGGCTAAAATGCTTTCTGATCTGCTGGCTAATTAAGGTTCCGGGGGAATTTATAAAATTCTCTAGGTTTTTGTTACCCTGTATTTTAAGTCACATTGGACATAGCTTACATGGAAAGGCAAACATCTTTTCTTCAGTCTGTGTTTGGCTCTAAGAACTATGACACTCAGCAAAGCTACACAAAGCAATTTGTTTGCCTCAATTGTATATCCAGCCTCATTATCAAAAATATACGAGGCAGCTTACAACGAAGTTAAGCAATAAAATTTTCTAACAACCACATAAGACCTTCTGGGACATCTCTTAGGTTAACCTCAGAGATGCCCATCTGCCTTACAGGTAGGGTGGTGAGTCTTAGTGAGTTATGAGAGCAGCAAGCTGTGCCAAGTCTGTCCCAGCCCTTCACTCTTTTTTCTCTCCCTCCCTTCTCTTGCCCTTCATCCATTTCCTTCTCTTCTCTCTCCTTCCTTTTCGATTCTTTTCAATTTTATTTTATCTGATAAAGTTTTGCCATGAGGTACAGTCTGGTCTGCGGTTCTACCATCCCCTGCCTCAGCTTCCCTAACGCCTGGGAATACAGTTGCATGTCAGTGAGCTCAGTCTCTTTGTTAAACAGGTTGGGTTTGCTTCTCTGACATGAAGGTTACCAGTTCTCTCCTGGTATGTCTCAGCATAGCACAACTCTTCCCATGGCCCTCCTCAGGCCCACTAGCCTCACTCTGGGACCCAGAATCCAGACAGGATGAAGCAAACAAAATGATTATCAGTGGAAGAGGCTCTTTCATTGATTCTATTTCGCACCCCTCTCAAATTCCCTTTATTATTCCCTTCAGCCCCTTTACTCTAAAGAATTCCAATGGAAAGGAGCTTCAGATCCTAGGAAAGAAAATGCCCATATTTCTCAATTATGTTGAAAACTGATTAATGTGTTGAGCATTTCTTTAGCACTCACATTCACTCCTTTGCAGGATTTGAGGAGGGCAGTAGAAAAAGCAGAGAGGTTCTTTGGTAAAACATGCGTCTTTGATCACTTCTGGAGTCAGGGCTCCTGACAGTCTTGGCTTCCTTTTTATTCTCATTGCTTAGTAATATTTTGTTTAGTAATATTTTCTGATTCAAAAAATAATTTGCTAGTCATACTTTAAAATAGCTCACTTTTAATGTCACAGATTCATTGTGTATATTAGTTGGGTTGAGTGTGATATGTCACCCAGTGCTACAGCATGCAGAGGCCCCATTGTACAGCCATCGTGACCAATCTACAGCCACACAGCACTGTGCTGCTGGCGGCCTGCTCTTACTAGAATCCATTTCTGCAAACTGAGAAAGCCAATTCTTTGCTCAACCTAATTGGATTTACAAAAAGTAAACAGACCCTGAGGAAGGCCTGAGAAGTTTCCTAATGAGAAAATTTGTGAGTTTAGGGTCCGGACTTGCAAAAACCTGTTGGGTTGCTTTTTTTTTTTTTTTTTTTTTACTGAATTCCATTTTCTCTGATAACGTTATAAATAAGCAAGGATTCTCAATCATGCATATAGAATGCCTCACTCTAGGTCCATAATTCAGCTCGTAGATGACTCAAGATGGAAGTATGAAATGGGCTTAGATGCTGATCTTATTTTGGAATGTATTTTAGAGAATATAACATAAATCACAAAGGACGCTTTAGAGAAATGAAGGAAGGAAAACTGGAAAAGTTACAGTTGGGTTATCTATATTATAATTACTTATCTGCATTTCATGGGCTTTCAAAATGCATACAAATATCTTAAATTATTCTTTAAATTGACAACCAAACAAGGCATTCAGAGACAAGACAGAGGGAACTATGGGACATAATGTTTTTCTTCCAAGCTTTGGTAAAAACACATGCAATAAGACAGACCTCTCAACACTCTACTCAACAGATTGTCTGTGGTCTGTATACTGCATGGTACTTAAGCCACCCATGGAAAATCTTAAAAGAGAATTTTGTCCAACATTCCTTGCTACTGTAATTACTCAGTTCCTGGAAACATTAATTCTATTTAATGACTTCCACTTGGATATAATGGGAGAAAGTTTTACATATGCGTATTTCTCAACTGCTACATACAATAAGTAAATAGATATTAGTACATCTTTAGGTAGTTTATTAGATTGAAGTAGTAGATACAGTGCTATTCGGGAAGGTATTTCATTATATTTCCAATAAGACATCATCATGAAGCCTCACAATGACTAGTTAACCTGAAAGAACCAAAAAAAAAAAAATCTCAAAGCATCCTTACAGTGTTCTGTATAATCTCTGTATAAGTCCCTTCTATGCCCTTGGGATGGCCCATCTTTATTGTCAAATTCATGTCACTTGGGATCACTTTGGAAACAAATCTTTGATATGCTTGTGAGGGGTTATCCAAACTTAATTGATGAGGCTGGAAGACTTTATTAATGTGGATGGGATTATCCCATGGCCTGGGGCCTCAGACTGATTAAAGGGGGGAAATGAAGCTGAGCACCAGGATTCATCACGGTCTGCTTCTCCACAGAGGGCACAATGTGATCAACTGTCCCCTGATTCTGCCACCATAACTTCCTCATCGTGATGGACTGAACCCCTGGAAATACAAAGGGAGATAAACTCTTCTTTCTTCCTTAAGTTGCATCTACTGTATACTCTTTAATTTCAACAAGACAAGTATTTAACAAAACTGTCTAATATCAGGAAGTAAATAAAGCAACAGGGAAGAAAGTTGTACTGGGCTAGATATATCTTTCTTATGTCACATCCTAATGATTTTATTTCAACATTCTACAAGTTACTGACAGTTGTGTATTTACAACATTTTAACCCCTTTCAGTAACTACTGTACACAAATGATAATCATAATACATACATGCCAAACCACCAGAAAGTAACTGTACACATGGACATGAACTGTACAAAGTTAGGATTCATCACGACTGTATCTATTA